AATAAAATAAAGTATGAACACTGGAGAAAATTTTATCCTATTGATTCTATTATATGTGTCAATGTGATCACATTCAAGGATTACAACAGAGTTAGGCTTTAAAATCTGTCTCTTGTACCTTTGTCTTCAATATAAAGTTGATAATTCGACCATTGTTTTGTTTTTGTACTCTAACCGCTAATTGAATTTCGCTTAAAAAAAAAACAATCAATGGTGGCTATAATCTTAAAGTTTATCCCTCAAAACGAGAAACAGATACTTATTACTATTAATTGAAATTAAATTACTCTTAAACCTTATGTGCTTACAGCTTTCACTCTGATAAATGTTACTCGTAACAAAAATTTTAAAGTAAAAAAGATTAACTTTTTACGCAAACTTATTTTATTTATTTAATAAAGTCTATACAAGAGTGTGAATGACTTGAGAGTACATATTGTACTAATCTGATGAAAGATAATCCTCTTCAGAGAACTCATCGGTCTCTTCATCGCCCTCTTCTTCATCATCGTCCAAATCATCCTTAATCAATTCATCTTCTTCTACTCGTCGAGGAAAATGTTTTTTAATTGTATGAGCGAATAGACTTTCTATATCATCATAAATACAGTGGTATGGACATGAAGGACATGCATAATGATATGTTGCATAGGTTTCTTGCTCTTTATCAGAAACAAATATATACTCTTCGTCTTGAGAGATATCACAGTCATGCTCCTCAATTGGAATAGTGTAGCCATGAATATGTCTCATATGCTTGATTGTTGAACGTGCTGTAGATCGAGTGATACCACAGATGTAACAGCCGTAAGTCAAAGTAATTTTCTTTTTGAGGGTTGCGGAGACAGTATCATTGCTTGTTTGAGATGAAGCCATATTTTCAAAGGAGTGTGAATAGAGAAGACGATGTTTATATATAAAAAAAATTAATGATAAACTTGGCTTATATATACTCATTTAGTTACCTCATTTAATAAAATAACTATTGTCCAGCATAATAAGCCAGGCAGACATATAAAGAAATATCTCATTGTAGATATATTTTACAGAAGGGAGGGGTTCTTTTTTTTTTTTTTGGTGAAAAGATGCTCCGTAATTAAAGAATTTAATAATGGGAAAGAGTTACAATTTAAATAGTAAAAAAACATGATAGAATATACTACATAGAGACTGTAGATCAGGTATCAAAAATTCATTGATACTAACTCAAGCTATTCAAATAACTAAATGACATTCATTAACCTGCGGTCTTAGCAGTGTTGTTTACTGGCATAATTGACTTGAATGAGAGTGAGTAGTACAAAGAGGCAAACTCAAAGACTATTGAGAGGAAAGGTTAGGGTCAAACAATGATTTTTCTCTCATCAAAGTTAAAATGAAGGGTTTAATTGTATGTATAAGGTTCTATCAGAAATAAAACTTCTTTTGGTACCTTGAAAAGTCGACTGTAAAAATATACAAAGACAAAAAAGCGCGTAAAAAGATTTATTCTCGGGAAGGAACTTGAAATTATGTCATTAAGACCTTTTTATTTATTTTACAGGTACACTTTTATTTTATTTTTATTTATTTAGCAGCTTCGTCACAGAAAGAAGCGAGTTCGATATCATTAGTGGATAAACCTTGACAGTCATGAGTAGATAAGGTAACTTCAACTCTGTTATAGACCTACAAAAAAAAACAATAGAATGTATCAATTAGAAAGAAACAATAATAGTATATGAATAGTGACATACGTTGAACCATTCAGGATGATGATCTTTCTTATCAGCTTTCAATGCAACGCGAGTCATGAATCCAAAAGCTTCGTTAAAATCTTTGAAGGAATATTTTTTAATGATAGCGTCTCTATTCTCAACCATTTCCCAACCAGAAGAAAGCAAAGGCTTGAGAAGCTTTTCACGTTGTTCAGTGCTAAGTGTTGTAACAGCCATTTTTTGAATACTAAAATTAGTTTTATGAATAAGAGAAAAAAGAGGTTGGGACCTATTTAAAAGCATTTTATAATAAAATTAAAAAAAAAGTATTTCCCACGGGGTATATGTACGTTTTTTTTTTTTTTTCATAATAAAAAAATGACGGTTTTTTTATTTTGAAATTCAGTTCATGCAATTTTTAAATATGAGATTTTCTATTTCTTTACTTCTTGAATTAAAGGATTACTTGTGGTATTGGATAAAGTCAAGTCTTCTTCTCCTTCATCATCATCATCTTCTTCTTCTTCACTTTCGCTGTCTGATTGACCAGGTATCTTTTGTTCATATACACCTAAACCCAAATTCTTTTTCTCTAGTTAATATCAAGCTATATCTTATTTTCAGTTCTATATATCTTTTACCATTTCGATATATTGTTCTGATTCCTCTTCAACATTTTCAATATCTAATTTCTTGGGATCTGCTGCTTTTAATTGTTCGTTTGCACTCTTTAATTGTGGTAAGAATGCTTGTACACGAGACAAAACTAAGGTTGACATTTTACTTCAGTTCAACGTAAAATATTTCCAAAATACATTATATTACTTACTGTCACTAGGTGGTCCTACAGGGAATGTCTTTTTACTTTCTGATGCAGCAAGTAACGCAGGTATGTCATTAATACTTTTTTGATCTTGATTTTTAGTTGGGTTGATCAAGTCCTCTAAGAAAGAGTGAGTCAGTCACAAAAAGATATCATACTGTCTGACAAGAGTTTTACATACCGAGTTTTTTTTGTTTACCAGAAACATTTAACAAGTCGAAAGATTTATTTGAATTAGACATTATAAACAGTTATTTGAAAGAAAAAAAAAAGAAGGTGTTTGTTCCTTTTTTTTTTTTTTTTTTTCTGTCAGTGGGTAGGTATAGTTACATTCGTGACCATTCTAGGTGACTACGTTTTAGACAATTTCACGAAACCTTTTGGAAAATTCTTTTTAATTATATTTTTTTAACATACAACACGATGGTTAGAGAAATAGAACCCAGTCTCAACGAAAGAGCTTTTGTTTTACAAGCACTCAAGCAAGGAAGACGTGTGGATGGACGTGAAGTTTATGATATGCGTCCTATTTCCATCACCTTAGGTTCCGATTATGGTTCTGTCGAAGTTCACCTTGGTAAAACCAAAGTAGTAGCCATCGTTTCTGCCGAAGTTATTAGACCTTATGCTGATAAACCAACTGAGGGCATTTTGATTTTTAATACTGAAATTTCGCCCATGGCAGCACCTACTTTTGAATCTGGAGCGTAAATATTATTTAGACCTTTTTATTTTCTTCTAAATTACAGGATATTAACTGTTTTACTTTTAGTCGTTCAGAAGAAGAAGTTTTAATTAGTCGTATCATTGAAAAGTCATTACGTAGAAGTAGAGCTATTGATACAGAAGGTCTTTGCATCGTTGCGGGTGAAAAGGTCTGGCAGATTCGTGTTGATCTTCATTTCCTTGACCATGATGGTAACCTTGTCGATTGCGCTGCTATTGCTGCTATTACTGCTTTATTACATTTTAGACGCCCTGACGTTACTGTCTCTGGTGAAGATGTTACTATTGTAAGTGAGAAAGAGAGAGAGAGAGAGAGAGAGAGAGGACGGGAGAAATACTAAAAAAAAATGAATATAGCATCCTATCGATCAAAGAAACCCAGTACCATTAAGTATTCATCATATTCCTATCTGTATCTCATTTGCATTTTTCGATGGCGGGTAAGTAAGAGAAAAGAGAGTGAAAGGATTGATTTGAATTATGGAATATTAATGACGCATATATATATATTTTTTTTTTCAAAAAAGTGAGTTACTGGTAGTTGACCCTAATTATTTGGAAGGACAAGTGAAAGAAGGTGATATGACGATTACAATGAACAGTCATAAAGAGATTTGTGCTTTATCAAAGGCAGGTGGTATACCATTAGAAATGGATCAAGTATTAAGATGCTCTCAAATTGCGATTATTAAAGTAGCTGAAATTGATGAATTAATTAAAAAAGTATTAGAAGAGGATAAAGCAGCAAGACAATCACGCAAATAATAAATGGTTTCTTAAATTTGCAACATATAACCATCACCCTTATTTTTTTTTCTTTTATTTACACACCCATCCACACACATACACATACTTTGTACTTATTGTCACACGTTATTTCTCTTTTTTTTAAAATTTATTCAAATTCATCCATATCCTCCTTATTTTTTGAACAATATAAAAAAAAAAATTAAAAGTATACAAAATATTCCTTTTTGTTTTTAATTGAAAAAAATATTAAGTTCAGTTGTTTCATGGTATTATATGCATGAAAGTGGTAGTCTCGGGCTCTACTAAAGAAAAATTCCATTACTTCTGATATCATTCAGCAACATCATCATATATCTTACTCAGTAGATTATGATCTATACATTTTAGAACATATAATTGTATTCCATATGCCTCCCGGTATAGCGTGATAATACATTTGAAATATTCAAGTTATCAAGTTTGGATGAATATAGTTTTTATCTGTTTATGACGATGGTACACTCATAACTTTTACAAATGACCTCTCACAGCATATGATCACAATTCAATCTATTTATGGCTGATAACAGTTTGGCTATTATTTTTTAAGCTGCAAATGTTTTATTTTAATTAATTGATGGTAGGGATTCAATTCGCATTCCTAATGCGAGAAAGTAGGTATGCGACGAAATTCTCTTGTCTTTTTAAATAATAATAGTTGATAGTATCTTTATCGGATAATAACAATATACATTTCTTCTTCTAGTTTAGATGCATAAAAAATTGATGGTGATAGTAACTAAATAACAGTTACTAGGTATTATAGGTCTAAAACTTCATATATATGTACATAACTCTTGAATCAGGTCCAAACACGTATCCGCTATCTTTAATTTATCTTTTCTAAAAGTTTTCTCTGGCGTTTTCTTTAACAAAAAGAACTTATAAACATATTGCTAATACGCTCTACTAAAAGTAGGTTAAATATTTATCCGCAAATCATTAACAAAAAAATAAATAAAGATTGGAGTAGCTGGGCGTCGATCCCAGTGCCTCTCACATGCTAAGCGAGCGCTCTTCCATTTGAGCTACAACCCCTTTGTTACACAAGATTGACCCAAAATTTTTTGGTTTTATACCAAAAACAACATTTAGAACACCGCCACACGTGATATGCACGTGATATTATATGATAAGTTTGTTGAATAACGATGATACATCTAAGAATTAGTTTAGTTATATGTGCTTGGGGAGAGTCATTAAATATAAAAAGAGATACAGATAATAAAGAAATGAAATAAAAAGTTAACACCAGACTACTGAGTTTTCAATGTAGAAAGACTTTGTAGTATCTTTAATTTATGAGAAATGATAAACAATGATATTTTACGACTACTATAGTAGTTAGTAGTCGTCTTTAAAAAGAGTATCAGAAAAAAGTTATTGTTTAATGGAAGTAAAAAAAAAAAAAAAAAAAATACAGAAATCCACAAAGATTTATTTATGTTATAGCCGAAAGGTAATGATGGAATATTTAACAACAGCGAATTATTATAATTAGAGAGATATTTTTGGATTTGAGAGGTAGAGAAGAAACAGACAGTGGTGAATACAATTAGCGTGGTCTTTCAATAAGTTGAAAAAGTTTAAAAAAGTAAAAAAAAAAAAAAAAAAAAAAAGTTTATTGATTTACATATCAATAATCTTTCTTAAAGTCTCCCTTATAAGTCATTGTCCTCTTGACTAATTGAGAACTATTATACCCTTCACTTTCCTCAGTAAATTCTTCATTTGTACGTCCGAATCGCCTTTATTGGAATTAAGAACTTCGTTTTCAGCTTGAACTTCATCGATCCATTCTTGATCCGGCTCGTCATTATAGCCCTCAACAAGAAGAAGTTGTGCAAGATACAGTAGTGTTCGGATACACATATTAACTCTGTTTACATATACTTTCTATTTCTACTTCTTATTGGGAGCCGTACTTATTGCAAGCATTTTCAGCGTTTATTATTCTTGCTTTGGCTACCTTGGTGTTGAAAATTTCTATTTCGGTATACTAGCGCTTGCAATACGGCTTCTTGTATGTTGGCACAACTGTTGAAGTTAAAGTATATGTAGAGTCTGTCAAAATATTATGAAGGATGTGAGTGGCAAGGAAAATAATATTTAGTTTATTAAATAAATAAAAGTAATAAAAGCATAAAAATAATAATAAGGATATGAAACAGATAAAATACTGAGGTGGTGGTGGTATTTATAATGGAGTTCATGGCTAAGAATTATTCAGGAATTGTTTTGATAATGCATGTACGTATGTACAAATATTTACCTCAGTTGGACCATTAAACAAATCAAACTTTTTGTTATAAAGTAATTTCAGTATGATGACTTTTGGGGGTAAAATAACTATATTTTTTTATATTTCGCTTGGTTTGACATATATTTTTTTTTAACTCTACTGTTGGAATGCTTTGATGTTTTTGAGCAAAAAAGTCTGGTTTTATTTCTGTAAGAAAGAATATTTGAGATGGTTTTACGTACATCATCTTCTGTTTATATTGGTGGGCATTCTCTTTATGTAAAGATTTAAATTTCAAAGAGCAAAAAGAAACATAAAAAAAAAAAAAAAAAACGGTATAATGGAGGGAGAAACAGCAACAATAACCTCAAAAGGCCTTAATTTTTTATAGATCTTTTTTCTTCATAGAAGCAGCTTACAGACAGCCCAGAAATAAATTAGTTACAATGCATAGACTATTATATACAGCACAACATGCAATAAAAATACAATCGACGTAACTATACAAAGATATTAATGGATACTAGCAACTAACAAAGTAAAGTTTCAAGGGCGAGGAGCCATAGAATCAGTAAGGTTATCTTGAAAGGCATTCTTCTCTTCAAATACAAAGACCATATGATGGTGTTTAAATGCTAAGCTATGGCGTGATATTAATCAGTCATTAAAACTATGTTGTCTGTGTCTCTTTTTTATTCGAAATTACATATTTGATGGAGGGGGGGGGTTTTTTCTGGCGGGATAGTATAGATAATGATTCCCAATAAAAATATAACTGGAAGCATTTTCTTTAAAGTAGCAAACTCTTGATTTTCTTTCAAAAGCTTAAGAAAGACAGTAACTATCAACAACAAGATCTCGGCACCTGACTTTCAATTAGTATAAAACTCGAGATAAGAGGGGTTTCTGTTGTTTTTATTTTAAACTTACCCTTAAATTACCAAAATGAGAGCCTACATTTACGATAATGAAGATCCTGCTGATCAACGCGCTGCCCATGATACCGGAATTGAAAAGTCAGTTCAAGATTTAGAAAAGGTTGGAGTCATGTACTGGAGAATTGAAGGACCTAATGACATTGAACAAATTGATGCTATTGCCAAGGAAAGACAATATAAAAACAGAGATACGGTAAAGTAATTTTTACGCCTTAAAAGACATGAAGCCACTTTACTTACGACTTTTTTTTTTTTATAGATTGTTGTCTCTCCTGAAGCTATGGGAGAAATTTACGAAGAAAAGGTCAAGTCATTTTTTGCCGAGTAAGTCTATGATCAAAAATGATAAGGTTAAAAAGAAGAAATTAATAGGGTCTATAGACATCTCCATGAGGATGAAGAAATCCGTTTTATTTTAGATGGTTCAGGTTTCTTTGATGTACGTGACCAAGGTGACGTTTGGATTCGTATTCATTTAGATAAAGGAGATATGATTATTTTGGTAAGAAAATTTTAAGACAAAATTTTCAACAAATGTATACTCAACTTTTGTTTATGTAGCCTGCAGGTATTTATCATCGTTTTACCACAGATGAAAAGAATTATATTAAAGCCATGAGATTGTTCAAAGAAGATCCTTTATGGACCCCCATTAATCGTAAGTACAGTGAGAGAGATCTACAGGAGAACAAAAATAATAATAAATAAATTCATTTTTTCAGGTCCAATTGCTGATGATAACAAATATCGCGTTGAATATGTCAATTCATATAACATCACTGCATAAAATATACGCGTTTTTAAAATTTAATTTATATATTTTTATATAAAATAAAAAAAGGATTTTTTTTTATTAAAACATTATTATTTATTTAGACATCTATTGTATAAAAAATTAGTTTATAGTTTTTAAAATAGGAAATCGAAAAGAGTCACTTACCATCATTTTAACAAACTCTTGATAATTAATTTGTCCATCACCATCAACATCAGCTTCGCGAATCATTTCATCAACTTCTTCTTCGCTTAATTTCTCACCAAGAGAAGTCATAACGTGACGTAACTCGGCAGCAGAAATATAACCATTACCATCCTTATCGAAAACCTTGAAGGCTTCTTCAATTTCTTCTTGAGAATCAGTATCCTTCATCTTTCTATAATACGTATTTATAAATAAAAAGTAAGTATATTTTACTTGATAACAACAAGTTTTTTTTTTTTTTTTTTTACGTACCTAGCCAACATGGATAAGAACTCAGGGAAATCAATATGACCATTACCATCACTATCAACTTCGTTAATCTGCAGATGAGAAAAATTTATAATTAGGGCTGAGTATTTTAAGATGAAAAAAATATTTATATAGTTTTACCATGTCTTGAAGTTCAGCTTCGGTAGGGTTCAAATTTAAGGAACGCATAACGGTACCAAGTTCTTTGGTGGTAATAGAACCATCTCCGTCTTTATCAAAAAGGCTAAAAAAAAAAAGCAAAGAGTGTAAGTTTCATTGAACAGACTTTTTTTTTTTTTTTTTTTTTTTTTTTTCATCTTTACTTGAAAGCTTCGCGGAACTCAGTAATTTGTTCTTCAGTAAGTTGGTCTGCCTAAGGAATAATAAGTATTAGATTTTTTTTTTGTTAAAGAAAAGATAAAAAGTTGTTTATTTTGTTTAGTTGACTAAATTACCATTATAATATATTATGTAGGATATAAAAGAAGAAAGAAGAAGAAAAAAAAAAAAAAAAAAAAAAAAAAAAAAGGGTGGTACACTTTAGGCTGATGAACTTTTGTCGGTTTATGAAAAATACAGTTACACTCAAATTTGAGACAAATAAAAAAAGACCTGTTTTTGTGTCCATCCCCGAACAAGTATAATATACGGGTTTCCTTTTGTGCGTTCTTCAATTTGATAGTTTTAATGTCATCTTTTATTAAATTTACATTGTAATTTTTTCAGCTTAACTAGACTTCACCGGTGAGATACGTTTGTATTCATTAATCCTTTCCCTTTGTTCTGTTTCTATGTTGACTATACCATCGAGAAAGATATCTGTGCATGTATATACATACTTGATATCTGAAAAGAAAAGCTTGCTTTTCTCTCTCCGATTCTTTTAACTGATATCTCAGCTACATTCTAATATGTAGTAATCTACATGCATTTAATACGCTGTAATTCAGAAATAATTTTGTTTTTCTTGGCGACATTTGTTTCGATAGTTAAGACTAATATCTCCTCTCTCTCTCTTCTTTCCTCGTGATCCATCTTCCCCCCCCCTTTTTTTTTTGTATATTCCAAGCTGCCTTATAATATGGTTATTACTGAAAAGCTGTGTGTATACTGTTTTTCACCGTGACAAGAAACGAATGCATCTTTGTTTTCAGTATCTGCAGTATACATGACCCGAAATAAGTACGTGTTTCATCGGTCTCCGAATTATCAAGATCATCTAATTTGAGCCTGTCAAACTTTGTTTTCTTGTCCTCTTCTGTACAAGGGAAATGCCATAGCTATATAATAGTCTGTTCTCCTTTTAGACGAGATATAGTAGCTTTTACACTGGCTGCTTAAAAAGAGCCTCTCAGCTTATTTACAAAGACTGAATCGTTAGATGAGCTTACTACTATTATATGCAAGTCTAAGTGTATACATACCTCCTAAGTTCGTGATTTGTAGAAATTAAAAACAACGAAAAAGACCCGTCACCTTATAAGATTTAATTATACATTACACTCTCTCTTTTAAGAAAGGCGTAAAACACAAGTTTTTTAAAGCAAAAATAAGGAATATTTATGATACTGAATGCTTTTCTGCAGCTCGGAAACGGTTGTCAGTCGGTTGATTGTTGTTGTCTAAA